AAAAAAATAAACACATCATGGTAAAATTAATACCTTCTCAGCTTCGCATCGAAGCTAAAATATACATACATCATAGTAAAATTATATCTTCTCAGATTTCGCATCGAAAGTAAAACCAAAAATTTGAGTTTAAATTTCATATTTAGTTTGCTAGTAATTGAATGAGTTATAGTAACCCATTCAATTATATAGTAATTATTCAACTATAGTAGCTATAGCCGATAGTTATGGTGACACTTTTTTTTTTCTGGGTTATTTTTAATTTTTAGAATTATTTTTTTGTTTAATTTATCCTATAGTAATTTAGTACTCGGATAATTTCTTTTAATAACTTGCCGATGCCCACATATTCATCAATTTATAATAATTTACTTAATTTCTTGACTTAATATTTTAATATCATTCTTAATATTAAGCTGAGTTCAATTTTTTTTTAACAGATAACAATCCATATGCATGTAGTGCGTTAAGACAATATAAGTTTTTAACTAAGTTGCAAAATGTAATTAAAACTGATAAAGGTTGGAAATTCATATATGAAAATTTGAATAAATTAAAATCATTCCTAGCTAATCCAGATAACATTAAATTACACATAACTGGTAATATAGATAAATTATGTGATATTATTCCTGAAGCTTCTGCTGCATTACAAAAAATTATTCCAGATAATTTAAAGAGATCAGTACATCCGTAATAAAAATTTGGTCATAGTATTATATTTGTGTTTTAATATTACATTTAATTGTAATTTTAATTTTTAGATTCCAAACACAGTTTGATTCTGAATTTATGTTACCTTCAAATCAATGTGGAATTCGAGCTTGTATTGTTGGAATGGGTTCTGTTGAATCAAGTTATTTCATTCAAGCTACTGATTGTATAAATGATTATAACCATCCAGACATAGCTGCTATTCGTGTATTTTTGGCATACTTTACTCAAACAGAAGTATGTAATCATTATAATTAAAATATATTTTTTACTAAATGTTATTTTGCAATTCATTCAATATTTTTACATCGAATCAAAATGGCCAAAGAGATTTATTTTTATTATGCAGTATAGATACATTTTATATGTGTAATATAAATAATACAATGTACTTAAAGAGTGAGAACATTTAAAAAATTTTATTGTATAAACGATCATAATTATCCTGACATTGCTGCTTTTCAAGTATTTTTGATATATTTTACTCAGATGGAAGTATGTAATCAATATGATTAATAGATATTTTTTACTATAATTTATTTTTTGCAATTGAGAAAAAAGTGTTAGGTAGAGATCGTCTTTAGCAATGACCTAGTGAATCAGTTGTCACAAACACTGTTGATTATAATCAATAATATAATATAATAATATAATTATATTATATCGTCTAACAGCTGATCTCTAACGTCTTTGTTTTACTCGCCCCCTTGACCGCCCAACACGTCAAATCGATGGCTTATGTGTCATCTATGTACAGTTCATCGTCGTACGTTTGTGAATCAACTTTTGTGCGTCATTTTTTTTTTTTGTAGCAAGTGTCTTCGCTTGAATGGTAAATTGTTCGGCCATTGTACGTCATAATTTTATGATTTATTCATTGCACTCTTGTACTCAAAGTTCTCGTGTCCTTGTACGTCTCCAGTGATTGGGACCTGACCATCACTAAAAAACTTAACTGCCGTAGTCGCTTTTCCACCGTCTGTTTTCATCCACAATTACATGGCTGGATCTACACTCTCACTCGTGATACTCAGATGTTCGACACCATTACCACAAGATCGCATACAGTCCATTCACCACTATCAACAACTTCATTTATTTAGCTGAGTTTCATATTATTTTTAATGTTATTTATTATTTGTTTTAATTGAGTTTTAACTATTTTGTTTATGCCACTTTGATGTCCTTTAGTATTTAAAGGCACCCCGCTACTCCTTAAATTTAAGATACTTATTGAAGAACTTTTTATATACAGAGTGTTCAGAGTAAGTACTAAGTACTTACAGAGTAAGTAAGGAAGCAATAATATAATAATATTGCATCTACGAATTTCAAAAAATGTTTATTTCTGTGCGACCCTAAATAATCACAATGCACCCTAATTCACGGCCTTTGAGGCCATCTCCACGGAGTAATTGTTGATTTCGGTGGATTTGGCCTAGCGTTTGTACATTCATAACAATCATGAACCATATTTTCAATGTCTTTGTCAAATGTTCACCACCAAATATATGATCGTGCTAAGCCTTTCATACTGGTCATACTTATGTGACACGAGTGTAGTTTAGCTAGAATATTTTTTTGAAATTTTTGCGGAGTTATAACACGATAGCTTCACAATAAACACTCTTGTTCCTTAGATATTTCATTTTTGCGAGTGACATACGGTTTTAACTCGTTGTTAAGTGTAAAATCGTCACTCCATTGACCTGTTTTTGTCGCATGTTGTACTCTTGACGTAATTTGATCTTTATTTATTTCAATTTTAATTTTGGACCAGTCTAATGGGAACGGTGAATTCTCATGAATAAAATTTAAATGAATGCTGTCATCATCGTCCCCGTTATTGCTATTAGGAAAATCGATTTTAATTCTCGAAAGAAAATTAGCTATATTTTTTAAATATAGCAAATCGTTTAAAACGATTTGCTGTGTAAATTGAAATACCTTTTTTATCTCCGAATATGTGTATCAATGGTCTGTTATCACTAATTAAAGTAATTTTTTTTGCATAGAGAAAATCATAGAATTTTTTAATACCGAATATTATAGCTAGTCCTTCTTTTTCTATTTGTTGAAACTTACACTCGGCATCAGATAATATTCGTGAAGCGAAAGCTACTGGTTTTTCAGAAATTATCAGGGTACACATGAGATAAGACTGCACCTAGTGCATACGAAGGGTAGTCAACTATTAATTTAAGTGGTAATTTTTGATAAAAATGTGCTAATGTGGGCCTTGAAATAAGAATTTGTTAAATTTTTTTATATGCATCGTCATAATTTGATTACCAGTGCCGTTTTATGTCATTGCATAAAAGCGTGTATAATGGTTTTAATATTTCAGCTGCGTTTGGAATAAATTTCATGTAATACGTTTCTAAACCTACGAATGATTTTAATGTCGATTTGTTTTCCGAAACGGCCGCGTTTCGGATTGCATCAATGTGTTTTGTTAAAGTATGTAAACCTTTTTCATCTATTTTATGACCCAGATATTCAATGGATTTTTGTAAAAACTTACATTTCTTTAACTTTACCTTCAAACCGCAATTATGCAAAACATTCAATAATTTATCTAATCTTATGTTGTGTTCCTGAATTGTACTACACGCCACTATTATGTCATCTTGAAATACCCCAATACCGTTAATTCCTGCTGTGGAAATTTCCATAGCTTTTTGGAATTCACCCGCTGACGATTTTATTTCAAATGGACTTCTAGTATAACAGAAAAGACCTTTGTGTGTATTTATTGTGGTGTACTTACGGTCCGATTCTTTGATAACCATTTATTGGTAAGCGTCTTTGAGATCTATTTTCAAAAAATATTTAAGGCCGCTTATATTTGCATATAAGTGTTCGATTTTAGGCATAGGATATTCTGTACCTTTTAACACTGGATTGATCATAATTTTAAAATTACCACAGATTCTACCTGTACGGATTTTAGTATTGGAAATATTGGTGTGGCCCATTCACTATAATTAAGCGGACCTAGTACTTTGTTTTAACTAAACGATCGATTTCCGTTTCTATTTTATTTTTAAGAGCTAGAGGAATTGATCTCGGTTTAAAAAATTTTGGAAACGAATTCTTTTTTATGTTGAGTGAAATTTCATATTTGTTAAAAGTGCCTATTTCGTCTTTAAATAGATCTTTGTATGAGTTTAATATATTGTTCAGATTATTATCTATTTCCACATTATTATAAATGGGCGAATAATTTATTTTGTGTAAGTCGTTTTTGCCTATTAGTGGAGGTCCACTTTTTTTTATCACAATAATGCACATTTTAAATTCTTTCTCTAAATGTTTTGCATTTACTACTATATTACCTATTGCATTTATGTTGTTTCCAACATAATTGGATAGGGAAATGTCATTGTCTAACATCGTGCTATTACTGAAAAGATTAAAATACATTTTAATTGAAATCACACTATGTAACGATCCTGTGTCTATTTCAAACTTATCATATACATTCTCTATTAATAAATTAGTTGTAAATGGATTAATTCTATTTGAGAATTAGTTTCTATCAAATTAAAAATGTATCAGACAAGTTGGTGCAACTGCCTGATCGTCTACTGTTTCATTAGAATTTTCAGTTAAAAATTTAGTGTATGAACGGTTATCATAATTTTGCTTAAAACTCTTACCATTTTTGCACATAAGGGCCAAATGACATATTGAATTGCATATGTTGCAGCTGTAATCCTTGTATCGACAGTTTCTTTTTAAGTGGTTTAAGCGGCCACATACTCCACACTTTGGTTTATCCGATGGTTGTCGATTAACCTGTTTATTTTGGTGAAGTTGCTTTTGATAGTTGAGTTCCGATTCATGCTGTTTCTAAGTATTTTTTTCTCTCATGGTAGCTTTCTTAGTAGTCGCTTTGTCCATTAGATTTGCATACGTGGATTTTAGATCAGATGCGTCTTCTTCTATTAGCCGGTCTTGTATTTTTCCAGGACTCATTCCTACAACGAATATATCTTGTATAACAGTGTGTAATTCTGACGAGAATTTACACTTCGATCCAAGATTTTTGATACGAGCACCCCATTCTGCCACCGATTCATCAGTACGTTGTTTTGCCTGGTAAAATGTATGCTTAGCTGCGAAGTATGATTTAACCGGCTTGTAGTATTGATTTAGAAACTTTAACAATGTACTGTATGTTTGAGTGTCTGGTGTGCTAGGTACACATAAGCTAAATCAAATTTTATGAATTTCTTCACTAACAGACGATAGCAATATGGCTATCTTTTGTACCTCATTTTCGATTTCATTCGACAAAAAGAAATTTGTCAATTTTGACTCGAAAATAGGGTTTCAAAAAGTACCCGAAGTACCAACAACTTGATTAAAACTCACCGTTGGTTTCCTATCATTCATTTTGGTTCAATATAGCAAAAATCACTGCACTTTTTTTTTTTTTTAAATTTATGATTTATATTTAATAGTTAATAAAATTACTTAATTAGACAGTATGATCTAAGAAACATTTTCCTCGTCGCCAATTTATTGTGTTTTGAAAAACAACATCAAATAGTTATAAGGTAAAACGTAAAATAAGTCTTTTTTGAGAAACAATATAATTGTTAATAATGTGTGTGCCGGTGATCGTACTCGCAAGTAGTGGACAATCCCCACTACTAAATTATATAATATTTATTGATACGTAACATAGATGATTTCTGACAGTGATTAAAATCACTATCATAAGAAACGCTTCGATGCAAATCTGTAGATAATGTTTAATTTTAAGAAATTGGTAGATTATTTCAAAAGCAACAATATTTCTTATTTCCTTAACTTTATCCCGATTAGTTATATGATTTATAATAATTATTTATTCATATATTATAATTATTATAATATATGAATAAATAATAATTATAGTAATTAAATTTTGGTATGAAATTGATATTCAATAATTTAATATTGTAATTTTTACGGAGATATTATAAAAATAATAAAGTAATTGTATATTTCTTTACTTTTAACGCGTATAAAAATTTAAAGGGTTGGTTATTGGATGCAATACTTTTCAATAAAAAATGTTTGTTATTCATAACAAAGTTATAAATTTTATACTCTGGACTACAAAGAACTTCAGAAACAAGAATATACTTTTCTACATCAACTTTTTGTGATGTTTTCAAATGTGTAATTAGACTTTTTCTATCATTTCTAAGTTTTAATATAACATATTAAAAATAAGTATTTACATATAAAAAAATAATTAAGAACAAAAAAAATTGTTTTAAAATAATACTGATTTTGATTATTAATATGTTAAAAATAAGGAAAATGACATATTTAACCTATCTTTTTAATCCTTTAAAGTTGATTTTTGTGAAAGTTTATAATTAAAAAAATTAATTTATTATCATAACTTTTAGCTCAAAATTTGAAATTAACATTATTAAATCGGAAATTATACGGGAATTAAAAAAATTGTATCGTTAAGATTAATATGCAGTCAGGATATTTTATAATAACTATTTATAGTAAATTTATCTGAAAAGATCAATATTTTTTTGCATTTTTATCGTAATAGACAACTTAAATAGAAATAATAGTAATCATTTCCTAGTAACTTTTGGTGTTTAAAAAGATTCTACAATTGAAATATGAACTGAATTAATTTTAATAATTTACTTTATCTAATATAACTAATTAAAAAAAGTTGTTAAAAAGATCTAAAAATCCATTGTTAATTCAGGAGAAACTAACATTTTTTTTAGAAACGGCTTATATAGCAACATGTTACCATCATATTTGGAATATTATAGTCTAGTAGTAGCACACAAAAATAGAGTAAAAAAATTACAATGTAAAATTATTTAATATTGTAATTGTCTTGATTTGTCAATAAATACTTTGAAAACATTATAAATCATTAATAATCATTTGACGTATCGTTGAAAAAAGTAGGTCAAGTTATAGCAGAGAAAATAAATGATAGTCACAAAAAAATACCTTCTCAGCTTTGCATCCAAGCTAAAACCTAAAATATAGTAAAATAATTGTAATATGAATAAGAAATTTCTTCTTGAAATTTGATAAAAATCAAATGAGTTGAAAATTTACTAAACTTAAAAATAATTAAGAAAAAAATGCAAAAAATTCTTTGCCATACACGCGTTGGAACTTGTACTCCAAACGCGTTAAACACAAGTGTTACCGACTCAGTGATCGTACGTCGCTTCCGACGACTGAAAAAAATGGCAATTTAAGCTAGTTCGAATTTCAATGTTATTTTTCTCTTCTTAAAAAGAGCAAAAAAATTTAAATAAATTTAACTTTCTATGCTATATCAAATTTATTTCTATAATATTTATCCAAATCAGTGTACTCCCCTTGTCATGTATTTTAAAATAAAATAAAATACAAAACCCAGAATTTTAACACTAAAATATGCTATTTTCATTTTCACCATGAAAACAAATCTATTAGTCAAATATTTTTTTTTTCAAATTAAAGTATACTACATAAGTTTTAATTTAAGATATATATATAAAAGTGTCAGTATTTCCGGAACACTTTCCAAAATTAAATTGAAAATGTTCTAGTTTCAATACGCATGTATAAAGTTTTGACCCCCTTGTATAAAGGGGTATGATCCGGTTTACAAAAAAAGTGTGTCAGATGAAAGGGGTATGTAAAAATTATTTATAAAAAAATAAATATATTAATCCATACATTTTTCCAAAAATTATAGCAATATAAATTTAAAAATATAAAATTAAGAATTAAAAGAGAATTCGTTATTTTGCCACTCTTATACTTCCACTCCCTCGCCGCACATAACCGGTCAAGGAATGCATCGCTTATTTCGGTGATATTTCGTAAATATTATCAACATTGGAGGAAGGTGCGAACGGGCTGTGTTATGGGTGACTCTATTTGATTATCATTGAAAGCGTGTTCGCTGACAGCAGGCTTTTTCACGAGTGGCGTGTCAGCACACACAGCATTCATTGAATTTGCCCGGTACGTATGCAGTGGTAAAGTTTAGGTTACCCAAGTGTACTGCCCAATTGATTAATTTACTGTTGTTTCCTTTTTGTGTAAATAAGTCGACGCGGAGTTACCTGTATATAATTTAAAAAGGGAAATACTACAAATAACCTAAATTTATCATATCCAAACATTCGCGTTTAACAGCAGCTAACGTTTTTGCACGTCCGATAGCTTTCTACTAAAGTACGCGACAATACTTCTTTCGTCTGGCTCGTTTTTGTGCTGAAATATTACCGCCCCCACGCCTAGATCGCTAACGTTGATTTGTAGGCAAAACGTTTTTGTGTAATCTGGATAAAGGCGTGGTGTATCACTGTTTTGATGTGTTCAAAATCGCATTGCTGTGTGTAGGACCACAAACACTTATACTTTTTGAGCAATTTATTTTGTGCGAGATCCTGTCGTTCTAAAATTTCTAAAACTTTACTAAGGTGGTATAAATGATTTACACTCTAATCGCAAATATCAGATAAACCTCAAGAATGTCGTAAAAATATCCCGTAAGTACTTTGTTCATAAGTTATATGAAGGTCTTGGGTGTATTTTTAAGTACAAATGAAAGTACTCCAAATTGAAATAGGCCTCTCGTCGTTCTAAATGTCCTGTATTTGCCCGCGTTTTGTTCAATTGAACCTTACCGAAATTATTAAAAATTTATATCTAGGATAGTAGCTAATCTACTATCAAAAAAACATTACATTTTATATTAAATTATACTTCTTTTACTCAATTTAAAATTTATCATTCATATTGTAATCTTAAAATGTGAAAGAACTATTATTGTTACGGATTTAAATGAAATACCGTAGACAATCACCAAAAATAAAAATAAATTTTTAATAACTACAGCAATATATCAAAAATCATTAGTGTTTTACTTTTAAAAGCTGCATTTGTCACTTATTTAATTAATGTAATGATTGTTTTTAACAGGGACCTATATGGGAGAAAGTTCAAGGATCCGGTTTTTCATATTTTCATGAAATTATTTTTAATCCAGACGAAGGAAAAATTTATTTAATTTTTTACAATTCTATACATTTACCAGCTGCTTATCAAGCTACTAAATTAATAATAGTATGTTCAATTTAAAAAATTAATAAATTATACATAGTTAAAAAAAAAACTAAAAAAATCTTATTATGATTTTTTAATATAATTTAAAATATAACTTCTCTATAATAATTTTAATTTAAAAAGCTTTAATTTTTAATAATTACATAGTATGAATATATCACTTGTAGTTATTATTATTTTAAATTTTAAATATATTTAAAATATTAAATAACCTAACCTATTTAAAAAGTATTTAATACAAAAATCCACAAATAATACTAAGAAAACGCCTATAATAAGTATTTCGAATTTTTACACATACTATTTGTGTTTAATTAGATGGTAATATTGTTCCTGAGTGCGTATAAGCGATTTTTTAGTATTATTTTTTGTCATAGATTATTATGTATGTAGACGAAATTGTGTATTGTTAAATCTTTGTCTAATTTTAGGATGAACATTTATCCAATGGACTATTATGGGATCAAACACTTTTCGAATCAGCAAAAAGTTGTGTTATATTTGAAATGCTTAACGAGGAGAATGAATTTGATGAATTATCTACACAATCAATCTTGCTAAGATTACGAAATTTAAAACAAACTTATAACCAGTAAATGCTTAATCTTTATAATGACGTATCTAAAAAATATATGTATGCATTTTCATTAGGGATCTTATAAAAAAAATATCATTAGTAAAACTTGAAGATCTTCCTGAAATTGGCAAGAAATATGTGATACCATTATTTAATCCACAATCTACAATAACAGCAGTGGTATGTCCTCCTACAAATGTTGAAGAAACAGCTAATGAATTTGAAAAGTAATATTTTAAATGACATTGAAGGTGAAGTTGAGTAAATGTAAACAAATGGGAAAAGTTATGGCCCTTATTTGTTTTACTATCATATTAAATTATATTTGAAATAAAAACTTGTGCATTTATCTAAAACACTGCAATTTTAATTACGCTAATAGTTTACAATTACACTTCACAATATTAATATAAATAACAATATGCTAATGAAAAAATTATTTCAATTTTCAGAATTGGTATTAAAATGAATATGTACAAGTCTTTAGATGAAATTTTTCTAAATAACTAACAGCATACTTGGGTTGAATGTTTTATTTAATCATCTTATATAATCTAAAAATTTGTTTATATTCTATTTATTTAATAAAATTTATTACTAAGACAATCAAAGTAAATGTGTAAAAAATTAAAAATAATGACCTTTTGTACTGTAAAATTATTTGTTTGTAAAGTACTTCTAAACATGTTATAAAATACATAATAATCAATTACTTATACTGTAATAATTTATTTTTATATCAACATATTGGTTTATAGAAAAAATGTACATTCTTCAAAATCCTCAACTATTAATGACTATATAAATTACATGATTTAGATTCATTAATATTTATTTTAAAGTTAGATAATGATTTAAAAAAGGATTCCCAGGGTATTCAGAAATGTTAGCCATTTTGTAATATAATAAATAGTTATTGTTGTATTATGTGACACAGCCCCGCGTCGCTTCGTTATACACCAGAATAACACATGCAAACTATTTTAGTGACACACGCAACTATGTAAAAGTTTGTCATCAATAAATATAGTTTAAAAAAACTAAAAAAACACGCTTTTAAAGCACATTAAACTAAAAAGTTAAAAATAATTTTTAAAATAAGCTTAAAACAATAATGAACGAAAAATACTAGTATTATTGTGATAAAAGCATCGGGCGCTCAATATACGAAAAATATGACACAAAGCATCCACTCTTTTTTCAATTTTTTTTGTCTGAGAAACAGCTTCCACATCCAAGGAAAGCAGCAGGCGCACAAATTACCTACTCCCGGAACATGGAGGTAGTGACAAAAAATGACGATACAGAAATCATCCTTTGTAATCGGAATGAATACACTCTATATCTCTTAATAAGAATAAAGCGTGTTAATATATATTTTTAATAGTAATTAGAGTATATATATACATGTAAAGCGACTTAACTACGTAATGCGCAGGGTATAGCCGTGTTTTGTGGGCGGGGGAACGTTATACCTAAGGTATAAACGGCGGCAGCGGCGGTAGGAATATTTAAATATATATACGTAAGGCGCATTACACGCGGGTGGTATTGGTCAGTCAAAATAAAAATTTGTTTATATATATATAATTGATGTCATGCACGCGTGTACGGGTACAAAAACCAAAAATATAAAATTATACAGGATTAGTGTGGTCGGAGATTGGTGAGCAAGGTGGGGTGAATGCGTAACGACGTCTAGTCTAGACGACGGGATACGTGAGAATAATAACACGTGCCGCGTGTAAGTTACAAACACACAACACACATACAAATGAAACAATATAAGCGTGTTAAAAACCACTGGTCGTATGACGTAGACTAAAGTAAATGGCGATTACAAAAATGAAATATTAAGTTTATGGTATTATACCTGTTCGCGTCGCAAAATATGGCGACACTGGTTGCAGCTGTATCACCATATCACACTATCATTTTTGTTTTTTGTTGTTGATGGTTATGGAACTTAATAAATATAGTTTAAAAAATCGGTTGCCAATTGTCTGAATGCAGTGACCTATCTATGTGTATTTAATCTATGATTATAATGTTAAAAAACGGTAGCACAGTGTGGACGAGGCATAGATGGGACAAGTATAGATGATATATGACAGTGATTAAAATCACTATCATAAGAAACGCTTCGATGCAAATCTGTAGATAGTGTTTCCTTTAGAGAAATTGGTGAAATATTTTAAAAGCAACATGAACTCTTATTTCTTTAATTATATCCTGATTAGTAGTTCTTTGATTTTAAAATATAATATATGAATAAATACTAATTATAGTTTTTAAATTTAGTATGAAATTGTGAGGCCAGCTATGATGTATGGTTCATAGTGTTGGGCGGTTGATAAGAAAGTAGAGCAGAGAATAAGTGTAGCAGAGATGAGAATGCTTAGTTGGATGAGTGGAGTGACTAGAGAAGATAGGATAAGGAACGAGCATATAAGAGGAAGTATAGGTGTTGCGTCAATCGTGGATAAGATGACAGAAAATAGACTTAGATTGTTTAGTCATGGTATGAGGAAAGAAGAATCGAAAGCTGTAAGAACAGTTATAGAAATGAATGTTGAAGGAAGAAGAGATAGAGGAAGACCAAAAAAGAGATGGAGGGATGCTATTGAATGCGATTTGAGGACAGCTGATGTGAGCGTAGAAGATGTGGGAGATCGTGTCAAGTGGAAGCTTAGGATAAGGGTGGCCGACCCCAAGTAGTTGGGATTAAGGCAAAGAAAAAGAAAAATATTACCAGAAATTCCGGTGGCAATTGACATAATATGATTGTTGTTTCGGAATGTACAATTTAGCGTTGTCGTAACACAGGAAAAAGTAAAACCAAATCAATTACCTACTCTATCG